CCTCACCGCACCGCGCGGCATCCGCCTCCCTCGAAGCGTTCAAGGCGGCCAAGTGCTCCTTGACCACAGCCGCGGCACCGCACTTGTCTTTTGGCAAACTCTTGGCCATCTGCAGCGCTGTCTTGCCCCTCGAATTGCGAGCCTCTGGGTCCGCACCGGCCGCCAGCAGCAGCCGCACGACGGCAGGGTGGTCGAACATGACGGCGAGAAACAGCGCGGTGCCGCCATCGTTGGGCCGTCGGTCTACCTCTGCTCCCGCCTTGAGCAGCTTGTCAGCCAGCCCCTCGTGACCGGTGTGCGCCGCGTACATCAGAGCGGTGAAGCCGTTTTCGTTCTGCTGGTCGACGCTAGCACCACGCTCCAGCAGCGTGTCGACCAACCGCTCGTGCCCGTAGATGGTGGCCACCATCAGCAGCGTGACGCCGGCCGCTTCGCCGTCCACGAAGCCCTCGTTGATCTGCCCGCCGCTCTCGATCCATGCCAGCGTCTTCTCCTCGTCCGCCTCCTTGCCTCGCCTGACGGCGGAGACGACATCGAGTGGGATCTGCTTGGTCACGATGTCCCTCTCCTCTGCCTCTGCCCGTCGCGCGGCCGCCTTCTGGCGCTCCTCCGCCGAGTCTGCCGCGGCCTTCTTCTCAGCCTCTGCCCGGCGCTCCTCCGCCTCGGCCTCGTCCGCCAGGTTGCGCGCGCTCTCGTCCCCCGTCAGCCCTTTGAGGTGCTCCTTGAAGATCTCGACGCATGCGGTATGGCCTCGGCGGTTGGCCATGGACAGCGCGGTGCGGTCGTATTCGTCGCGCCAGTCCAACTTGGCGCCCGCTTGCAGCAGGCAGCACACGGTGCCGGGGTGGTTATAGTAGGCCGCATTCATCAGCGCAGTTGCGCCGTCGCTGGCGCGGTGGTCCACCGCGGCGCCGCGCCCGAGCAACGTGTGCACAATGTGCTCGTGCCCCTTGGTGGCGGCGTACATCAGCGCGGTGCCTCCGGTGGTGTTCTCCAGGTTGACCTCGGCGGAGTGGTCGAGCAGCGTCTCCACGATTCGCCCGTGCCCTTTCGTCGCGGCCGCCATCAGCGCGGTGCGGCCCTCGCTGTCCTTGAGATCGACCGTAGCGCCTCGTTGAATGAGAATGTCGACCATGTCCGCGTGCCCCCACTGCGACGCAATCATCAGCAGCGTGAGGCCGGTCGCGGTGCCGTCGTTGAAGGTCGCGTTGATCTTCTGCCCGCCCCCATCGAGCGATTCCCGCACCGCCGCCTCATCGCCCAGCGTAGCAGCCTCTGCGACAACGTCCCCCTCCCCCGTGGTTGACCCCTGCCCCGTGCCTCCCCCCCCTCGGCTGAGGAGGTTGTCAAGCACCCGGGCGCTCTCTTTGCTGCCCTTCTCCGTGGCGAGCTCGAGCGCAGTCTCGCCATCGATGTTGCGCTTCTCTGGGTCCGCGCCCCTCTTCAGCAGGTAGCGCACGACCTTGGGGCGGTTGAAGAGTGCTGCGAACATCAGCGCGGTGCGGCCGAACAGCGAGTCTGGCAAGTCGATATCAGCGCCCTGCTGCAGCAGCTGCTTCACGATGGGCACGCACCCCTTGATGGCGGCGTACATGAGCGCAGTAATGCCCTTGCTGTCCTGCATGTCGACCGTCGCGCCGTGCTCCAGCAACATCTCGACGATCGCCTCGTGTCCGAGCGCGGCGGCGAGCATCAGCAGCGTGACGCCAGTAGTCTTGCCATCCGAGGTGGTGTACGTCTCGTCAGTTTCCACGCCTCTCTCGAGGAGCGCCCGCACTCTCTCCTCGTCGCCACATTCAGCCGCTTCCACGATACCCGTGCCGACCTCGTCAAGTATCAGCTGGCGCCCAGATGCACCCGCCGCCACGTCCGCCGACCCCACCTCCGCGGCCTCCGCAATCGCCGCCTCCGCCCTTGCCTCCGCCGCCCTCGCCGCCTCCTCCGCCCTCTCCGCCTCTGCCGTCGCCTTCGCGTCCCTCTCCGCCGCCGCCGCCGCCGCCGCCGCCGCCGCCGCCCTCGCCCTCGCCGCCGGCACCGTGTCCTCGGATGCGCTGTGATTCGCTCTCATGGTCCTTGGCGACCTCTGGTTTTCTTTTTGAAGAATTCTACGAATTGAAGCCCCTCTCACAGCAGACTGGCACGAACTAGCACCACAAAATGAAGAAAAGCATTTGAGTCGAACCTCTGAGAAGGTGCAGGCGTGCGAGGGCGCAATCTGCGTCGTGCGGGGCTGCTGGCTGGGGGCTCACTTGTGTTGTACGGCTGCTGTTTTCTCAGGGCGCGGGGGGTCGCGCAGTGCGTGAGCCGCGCGGGCGTGTGTGAGTGTATTGTTGCACAGAGTCAGAGAGAGATTTTTAAAGACCAACAAGAAATCAGAGTCAGAGAGCACAGCCACAGGCATGGATGAGCATTCTTGGCCGAGCCGCACGGAAGACGAGAGCCAAAATCAGCCAACAGTAGACTGCCTAAGGGGTCCCGTACCATGCGGAATCGACCCTATCCAGTGCTCAAGTGCTCAAGTGCAAAGGCAAAGGCCAAAGCGGCAAATACCTGGAAACCCCTAATGCCTAATAATAAACCGGACGCAGCAGCCTGGAGAGAATGGATGGAGGGGGGAGAGCGGAAACGCCGGTTTTCCTTGGTTTCGCCTCTCATATTTTGCCCCAGAGGACCAGCTCTCAGACTCAGGGAAACTCGAGCGAGAGTTGCCAGAATGGAGCACCGAACACACCCTCTAGTTTCCCTGGAAACTTCTGGAAACGCAAAGTGCTGGGCACTCGTTTCCTTTTGGGGGGTTCCGGAAACAAGGCACAGCCTAAAAAGTGTAAACCTGGATAAAATTTGCACGATCTCATGGGTCAAAAACCTACAAGCATCATCGCCACTTGCCGCGCACGGCCTCCTCTCAGCCCCCGTGCGAGGCACCTCCGGAGGCAACCATATCTGACTGATGTATTCATATGAGATAGAGCGGCCGCACATTGCTCGGTACCCCCCCCTGCACTTCTAAGCCCGTCCCTGCTGCTAGGGGGGGGGGTCTGACCCCCCCAGCAGCAGAGCGCTGCTGCTGGGGGGGGGGGGGGGGGGGTCCCGACCCCCCCAGCAGCAGAGCGCTGCTGCTGGGGGGGGGTCGGCCATGGGCTTAGGTGTGCAGGGGGGGTACCGAGCAGTGTGCGCCGCTCATATGTTGGAAAGGTCATCTACCATCCGCCAACATTGACATTGTTCATGCAGAACCCGCCCTCGTCTCCTTCTGCTTCTCTCTCTCTCCTAGTGAATGAATGTGATAAGAAGACCCCCAAACAAAAAAAACGATCCATCGAAAAGAAAAGAGGCTCCTCTGAACTCTCTTCAAGAGCGGCCACCCACTCCACTACGCAACATCTCCCCCCCCCCCCCCCCCTTTCCCCCGTCATTCTGCGTCATACGTGTTCAACGATCTCCGCTTATTCCTTCCAAAGTATTTTGGGGCCGCCTTTTTGGCTCCATCGTTGCTCTCTCTCGTTGTATCTACCCATCGGGACACCAGAGCATATGCAGTCGCGACTGACTGGCACGAATGGACCCATTCCATTCATGCGAAATCGGCATGGTTTGGCTAGTCGGCGTCGCAGCCGGCGCGATGGGCGGTGATCACAGCCACGGCGGAATGGAGAGTCACGGCCACATCCACGGTGGAATGGAGGGAGACACGGGCCAGCACAGCCAAAACGCGGGAATGGCCTCGATGTACTGTGGCGCGACCGACTGCCCCTCGTCGGTGAAGCTTATTGCAGACGCGGTCGCAATGCACGCCGGGACAGACGCTTCTCACACAGGCATGGCGATCCGGTTCAGCTGCGACAACGCTGTCGACCTTGCCCGTGGGATGGCACCGCACCACTCGGGAGCAGTGCAAATGTGTCAGACCCTGTTTGCCTACACAACCGCAGGCGTGCCGACAGCGGACCACATGGCGGCGCGCGACCCGGTGCTGCACACGCTCTGCAACAGCATCGTTGCCACGCAAAACAAGGAGATTGACTTCCTTGAGCGATGGCTGGCGGAGCACGCTGGCCCGGCGGGCACGTGCGGCGGCGACGATGCCGTCGCTCTGCTCGATACCCACGGCATGGGAATGCCGATGGGGTGCTACGATTTGAACGGGCGCGAGTGCGTCACCAGTGGTGTCGTCGGTGCCTATGTCCAAGTGAACGCGGACATGCACGTGCGGATGGCTGGCTCGATGGCCTGCGATCCCAACCTCGACTTTGTGCACGGCATGATCCCGCACCACGTCGGCGCTGTTGATATGTGCTCTGTGTACACCGCCTTTCGCGCGCATGGCATCGGGGCCAGCGAGCACGTGGAAGTGACGAGCCTGTGCGCCAACATCACGGCGGCGCAGAATGCCGAGGTGGCACAGCTCAAGGCATGGCTAGCGGCGCGTGGGTACGACCCCGACGGTGGAGACTACTCGTGCATGGGTGCATCCGCTGGCGCGGACAGCTGTCCGTGCTCGGGCGTCACGCCGTGCAACCACCACGGGACGTGCGAGAGGCGAGTCGCGGCCGGCTCGGCGGGCAAGAGGCCAGAGCAGTGGGTGGACGAGGGTGGCGAGTGCGAGCCGGACGCTCCCGACTGCGTGTCGGCCGCGGCTGCCGTTCCGCACACGTCGCATAGCGCAGGGACGGTCGGGGAGCACTCGCACGCGGCTGGGGAGCACTCGCCCTCAATGCGTGCTGGCGCTCGCAAGGATCCCCACCTCAGCTTCGCGCACGGGGGGCACGCGGACTTTCGCGGCCGAAACGGAGCCTACTACGGCTTCTTCTCCGAGCCCGGTCTCGCCGTTAACGTCAAGGTTGAGGAGGCGTCCTTCTCCATCAAGCGGGGCGCGCTCACGGTCGACGGGACCTTCCTCACCGAGTTGCACGTGGTGGCGCGCGTGGGCGGCACCAAGCGCAAGTTGTTTCTCGCCTCCTTTTGGGCCTCGGAGCTGAATGAGAACAACTGGGGCTGGCGCGTCATCAATGGCTCGTGCGCCGGCCACGTCTTCCAGCTCGGCAAGGGCGGCTTCCGAAGGTGTGAGGAGCTCGGCATCGAGGTGGAGGCGCTGGAGCTGGCGTGGCACCTAGAGGACTGTAGGGCTTACCTTTCCCCACTCTCTCGTGAACAGGTGGACATGGCGAGCGCGGCCTTCAGCACCCGCAACTGGACCATCACCGTGCGAGGCAACCGCGTGCACGGCCACATCTCGGCGCGGCTCCGCGCTAAAGGTCCCCGGTCGCGGCCCTCTCACCCGACACTTTGCGCCATGTAGGGCCCAAATCACAGGCTCGACGTGAGCTTTTTGGCCGCGGGCGATGCCGCTCAGGCACGCCCACATGGCCTTGTCGGCCAGTCTTTCTCATCCCTCTCTCCGCGCTACGGGAAGCAAGACGTCTACCCGGCGTCGGGCCACTTTGTCACCAGCGCCCAGGCCGAGGGCGCTATCGAGGGGACGAGCGAGATGTACCAGGTGGCCTCGGCGCACGACACGCGCTTTGTCTTCTCGCGCTTCGACGCCGTCGAAGCGCCGTGATCTCAGCATTCTCCGCGACAGCCGATCCCGCTTTTTTCAGATTTTCTCTCGCCATATCAGGTTATCACACCACAGCGGGCACCGAGGCGCTCAGCCTCAGGGGCGCACACGGCTCGCTCCCCGCGTGTCAGGTGTCACCTGTCACGCCGCCTCACGGCAATCTCCGCATTCATCATGAATCATCATATCCTCTCGCATATGCGATTTTTATCCGCGTACCGAAAAAATGATGATGATCCAACACAATTGCCGGATAAAACTCCCCCTGAAAAACCATGCCCGTGTCCTCAAAGCCTCCGGTTCGCGCCACGTCCCGTCGCAGAAGGCATCTCACCCCATCGTGGGCGCCCTCACCGGCCGCTGTTGGGATCGTCCACGTCGTTGTACGAGTTGTAACGCATTCCCGCCGAGTGCTCCTCGGTCGCCTTGAGGGGCAGAGGGCGCCTGGTTGGAGATGGGAGGCTCGCGGCGCCTCCCTCGCCAGCCCGCCGCCGCGTCGCGCCTCCACCCACTCGCCCGCCCCGAGGGCTGTGTGCAGGCCGGGCGAGGCGCCGCCGTGGTCTGCGAGGGAGAGGCCGAGCGCGTAGAGGAGCGAGAGGACGTACCTGACGGTGGCGCAGGCGGAGTTGAAGAGCTGCTCACAGCTGCTGCTCGGGCTGCTGAAGAGTTGCTTAGAGCTGCTGCTACTACGACCGCAGGGCCGCGCCGCAGTACAGCTGCTGCTGCTACTATCGGAAGCCGCGCCGCAGCGGCAGGCGCCAGTGGAGTGGCGCGCTGAAGGAGAGGACGTCGATCGGCGCCCAGAGGGAGACGACGGCGCGGGCGTCGTGCTCCCAGTTCGCCTGCCACGCAGTCGGCCCCGTGACGGCTCTGCTGCGGAGTGGGTGTCGAGGGCCGGGCGAGTGCCAGCCGCCAGAGCGGGTGACGACGAGGGTTCAGGAGGGCTCAGGAGGGCTCAGGAGGGCTCAGGAGGGCTCAGGAGGGCTCAGGAGGGCTCAGGAGGGCTCTAGGAAGGGTCTGTGGGAAGGGTCTGGGGAAGGGCTCTGGGGCGGCGTCGCCTCGTAGAGGCGGAGGCCCGTGATGGGCGAGAGGGTGCGCGCGGTGTAGTAGGCGGGGAGGAAGCAGAGCAGCAGCACGAGAACGTCGATGCCCGTCTGCAGCAGCACGTCGAGCATGCCTCGCGGATCGGAGACCTTGTCTCGAAGCGACGCCGCCCCAAAGGCCTCGGCGCGAGGGAAGAGGGCCTGCTCCGGAGCTCGCAGCGGTGAGGTGGTGGGTCCTCTAGCCCGGCAGCAGCTCTTGCTAGCATGGCGGAGGCAGCACGGCGGAAGCGCCTTGAAGCCGAAGATTAGGTAAGCATACTGGAAGAGGCCGAGGTAGAGTAGCCCGAAGAGGCCGAATCCGAGTGCTCGCCGCCAATCCACTTCCGCGAGCGACCGACCCTGCAGGGAGAACTGCTCGAGGATGTCGAGTGAGAGAGCAAAACACGCCGCCAGCACCAGCGCGTTGGTGAGCGGCCGCTTCGCCGCACACCTACGCCGGAATAGGCCTAGTCCTCCACGCATGAGGTACTCACAGTCGCCACAGATCGCACGCACCATCCATAGCCGAAACCACTCTCGACGTACGACAGCCGCGCTCGGGCACGCGTGAGCCGGTCGGTCTCCTTGCTTTCGAAGCGCGAGGTGCGCACCGATGCGAACGGGTCGAGCGAGGGAGCACGGCTGGTGCTAATCATCGTTGCCAGGTGCTGCCTATGTAGTTCTTTGGTGTACCTGTGTTAGTGCCAGTGCGCGCCAGTCCCGTGCTCGACCGTGCCCAGAGAGCAGCCCAGAGAGCAGTGTCGTGCGAGGGGGCTGGGTGATCTGTAAAAGAAAGAAAGAACGCAAGGCCGCCACCACACAGAGATTTGTGACATTTTGTGTAGGGGCAAAATTCTTTCTTTTTTTAGCCGGAGACTGTGAAGCATCCCCATCCGCCCTCCGGCTTGCGGCAGCTGCCGGCCGACGACCACCCGCTGGGTGTGTTACCTGGTGCTGAGCTTTGCTTTTGGTCGACCATGGTCCTCTGTAGTTCCCTTTAAGTTAGCACGACAGGGGTGAGGAGAGATTGGAGTGTAGGTGGAGAGGTGCGGATGGGCTGAGCGAACCATTCGAAGGGCCGTCGCGCTCCCCCCGGGGCTGATGTTGGGAACTAAGCGATGGACGCATCCGGGTCTCGGTGAGGCGCCTCCCAGAACTCTCAATACTCGTCCGAGATGTCGCCGTCCTCGCTCTCGCCCTCCTCGCCCTCCGACCGCGCCATGTCGCCGCCAACCTCCGCGGCTGAGCCCTCGCCCACCTCGGCTTGGCCCTCGGCCGACGTGGGCGGGATCTCCACCCCCGGGGGCGCGCAGATGGCGTCGAGGAGCGCCTTGAGGGTGAGTACCTGCTCGGCAGACAGCGCGCGTGGGGAGGCGCCCCCCCTCACAGGCGCGCGGCTGCCTCGGTGCGGCGGCCTTTGGCGCGCCGGCCGCCGCCCTGGCGACGCTGACGGGGACCTTGTCGGCTTCGTCGGTGACGATGAGGGTGCATGCGCGCGGCGAGGCGCTCACCTGGACGCGGAGGGAGGGGGGCTCGGGGCGAGAGAGGCGACGCGCGGCGGCGAGGCGAGAAAGGGATGGGGCGCGAGCCCAGCCCAGGACGCCGGAGGGCGCCTACGCATGCAATGCACTTTCGGCGTCCGCGTGCCGGACGGACCCCTTCCAGTGTCCCCGCGGGCCACCGGG